GGTCTATGGGAAGCTCTCTCCTGAGTTCACCACATCAGGTGTTGTCAGACAGGGCTATCCTCTTTCACATTTCCTCTTCAGTTTCGTCATTGATACAGTTATGGATGACTCACAATCAGCCTCTAATGCCCGCGGGGGTGAAAGTGCTCCCTGGGAGTCCGCTCACAGATATCGAGTACGCAGGCGACATAGCTCTTCTTGGATCTGACCCCGTGGTAATGCAAACAATATTAAATAATCTAAATAATTCTGCCTCGCGGTTCGGCATGCGCTTCACACCAGCAAAGTGTAAAGTGCTACTGCAAGACTGGGTGGGCTCGAACCCTAGCCTCATGCTTGCGGATCAACCGATTGAGGTAGTAGACAAATTTGTTTACTTGGGTAGCTTTATTGATCCCGGTGGTCTGGAGAAAGTTGATATTTCCATCCGGGTTGGGAGGCCAGAGCAGCTTTTGTGAACCTACGTCACCTGTGGCGTAGTGTTGCGAGAGTCGAGTAGTTCCAGGACGGGATCAGAAGGGAGATAGAATAGGAAGACATAATATACGCTTTAATCGTCTAATAACTGTAGTACATGAGCTGAAAATAGAGTGAGAATCACGAGTTAATAGGCTGTGCAAAGATATGGGTTACATAGTCATGACATTCTCCCCGCCTTGGAATAGTACATGAGAAATAGAGTGAGAATCACGAGTTAATAGGCTGTGCAAAGATATGGGTTACATAGTCATGACATTCTCCCCGCCTTGGAATGAATATGTACTTTGCGGAGAAAAAACGTAAAAAAATAAAAGGCTATAATAGTTACATGGAGTCGTTTACGCCTCTCTGTTGCGTAGATTGTATGGGTGAGTGCGCTGTTGTCGGATAAGAATGTCCAAGTGATTTCCTGGATCTGCACTAGAATGGGATGGTGAGGCATCGTTAATAGGCAAGAGTTCAGTTTCTGAGCAACCACGGTGGATTGTTGGTGCTGTGTGAGGCTCCCCTTGTTCAGCGATATGTATTGGTTCCTGTTCTGTGTCGGATGTCGTATTGGCCCAGGACAGTAAGCCAGGTAGGTATGGAGGCACCGTTGGCTGATCGTCGTGTGAACGGCATGAAACGTTCGTGTGGGGTACAGTTTATACTAGTACATAACAGAAATCTGATACAGTGGAGAGCATCAAGGAGGACAACTTCCCAATGTGTGACAGGCAAGCCGCGCGACTTTAGAGCCAGGCAGATGGTATTCCAAA